TGATGGAGCTTGGTTGTTAAGAGCTTTGTATGTTAGGAGTAATATTTTAAATTCTATTCTGAATTTGAAACGGAGCCAGTGGAGAGAAGCTAAAATTGNAGAAATATGATCTCTCCTTCCAACTCTCATTAAAACTCTAGCAGCAGCATTTTGGATTCACTGAAGACTTCTTAAAGAGTTTTTTGAGATAAACATGCAGTATCCTTTGCTTCTCTTGTGTTTAATGTAATACAGGAGTGATGCTTTTGAGAACCCAGTTCTCCAGCAGCATTACAGGAACCTGGAGGCCTTGGCTTTGGACATGAAGGCTCCAGAGGACATTGAGGATCTTATTAGTAAGATGAAAACAGATCCTGTTATCTTTTTGGCTCCTACAGTTTGTGTTCAAATCTTCTGTTCACTCTTACTTTACATTTCTGTTCTTTTCTTTGTCTCAGTGCCAAAGGTGGAGCAGATTGACCACCGTCTCGGTCCTTTGGTCCAAGACTTCAAAGATATGGTTTACCCTGCTGATTACAACCCAGAGACCAAAACGGCTCCTAAACGCAAAACGGGTGAGATTCTGGGTTTTCAGTAGTTCAGTGTAGTTACTGGTTACTTTGTATTCATACAGTAGCGAGAACGAGGGGAGAAGCAGTAAGGGTTGAGGGAAATTCCTAATCAATAAATGGAAGTCTGAATAATGTAGCAGAAAACCAGTTGATTCTCTTCTAAAACATTATTCTCATCTCTGACTCCAATCAGTTCCACTGGAGTTTACACAGTCAGGCTTCAGCAGCAGTCAGAAGTCCTTGGAATTATCAGGAAAGCAAATCAGTCCTCTAATAGCTACTGTAAGACTGCAAACTCAATAACTAACAAAAAACCTCTTATATAATGATGAATGAAGGTTTTAATGTATGTCTGATTTCCTGGTACACCCCTGGAGATGGGATCTTGTTAGACATTAGAACGTAACTAACTTTGTTATGAAGACAGAAAGGTCTCATGATAAGACACAAACTCTGTTTAACCTTTAACCCCAAATATAAAAAATACAAGACTGGTTCTAACATTCATTGAACTGAACAGACTTTTTCTGTCCCAGAAAAGGCTGACATCCATGAATCCCACCGAGTGGTCAGCACAGAACGCTTTCAAAAAGTGATTAAGAGCAAACAGTCAACTACATTTTTTATCACCACCTCTTGCCTTAGGTGTAGGGCCACTGATGAAAATCCCCATGTTAGATTCTGAATTGCATTCAACAACTGGATGAAATCCTCTTTCAAAATGTCTGACTGTTGGTTCGTAACTTCATCACTTCCTGTATGAATGATGAGCGTCTTCAGAGCTGGATACTCAGCTGTGATTTCCAGAATCTTCTCTGCGAGGTCAGACACTTTATCAGCAAAACTCAGAACTTTGACTTTTTTCTTGTTCCAGAAGCCTCTGATCTCATTCACCATTTTATCTGTGATGATCAATATTTCTTGATTCTTGAAAGTCTCTCTTTGGACTTGAACTGAATCTGGTCTCAGTTCCCTCTCTGAGGTCAGAAAATGAACTTTGTTCATTCACGATAATACCGGTAAAAAATAACTTGCCCGGGAAAATAAATTATATCATGATATGCTAATTTCATGACCAACGTCATTTTGCTGATGTCAGTAGAGAAACCTGCTAGTTTTCAGTTGCGGTCTCGTTAAAGCCGCTCAGTCTGATACAGGTTTAAACAGACGCTGCTTTCAACAAATCAAACACCTGTCAGCCTGCAGCTCCTGTCCTGAGTGAGCAAACCCCGTCCTCCACACTTCTCTCTGAGCTACCAGAGACGTTGGTATCTAAAATCTGACACACTATAAGTTTGTGTGTTCAGAGCGTCGTTATCTAACAGATATGTCCAACTTTGTTCAGCTGACCAAACTCCTCTCTTCAACAGCGCTGTTACAGGAGTGAGGTGCACTCAGGCTGAGTTGTTCTGTGGAGCTGCTGCTCTTCCAAAATATTAACTCAGGTGAACACTTTGCTCCAGAATAAAAACAGACGAGTCTCTGCTTAGTGTTGTAGCGTTACACACACACACACACACACACACACACACACACACACA